GGCTGTTTTTTGGCAGCATTGGTGGCAGCATCCATGGCAGCAACGACTGATTTTTCATTTATTGGCCGACAATTTGGCCCATCTATGGCCTGCATAACAGAATAAAAACCACAATCATTTGTTTGAAATCCTCATTGCGTTTACGAGGCTTTAGTGTGGTTAGGTTTGGTGGTAGTATATTGGCTGGGTACATGTTAAGATTGGACCACCTTATCTAACCAAATAAGGAATTTTATCAGCTTGATAAGGAGGCTCAATAAAACATGGATTGCTGCACTATATGAGACCATTTATCTCAAGGCTTTATGTACTCAATTTACAACTACCACTTTTTCAAGGTAAAACCTGAGATAACAGGTTTAGATAGAAAATGATCTCTGGAATTCACACTTGAACATTTTAAGCTTCATGAGAATTTATCCAGCATCAGGCAAAACAATTTATTATACTAGTAATTGTTCTTTTATGCCTTGTTCATGCTAAGTATATTACTATACATTTTGCTGCTTTTATAGCACTGCAAATTGCATGGTTAGGCGAAAATCCATTGCTTTCAATAAGCTTATTGAAAAAAAATGCATTATTGGCATTTGACAAGGGTGAGGCTAGATCACAGTGTTGTAGAACAGACTTTATACAATGCAGAAATCTTTTACTTTTTAAATTCAAGCTGGGTTAAGTGGACCTCAGTGATCAAATATTAATATAAAGCTCTTTTAATACTTTTATTCGAAGTAAAGATAAATACAAGAGTTAAACACTTACCTTTCTTAGAGAAAATGCTGCTTTATATTTATGTCAATAATGGCAAGATTTCTGAAAACGATGTTCCTGTATACAGTGCCTTGAAAAAGCATTCATGCACCTTGAAATTTTCCACATTTTGTCATGTTACAACCAAAAACGTAAATGTATTTTATTGGGATTTGATCTGATAGACCAACACAAAGTGACACATAATTGTGAAGTGGAAGGAAAATAATTTGTTTTTTAACATTTTTGACAAAAAAATCTGTGAAAAGTGTGGCGTGTATTTGTATTCAGCCCCCCTGAGTCAATACTTTGTGGAACCACCTTTCTCTACAATTACAGCTGCACGTCTGCTTGGTTATATCTCTACCAGCTTTGCATATCTAGAGAGGGACGTTTTGCCCCTTCTTCTTTGCAAAATAGCTCAAGCGCTGTCAGATTGGATGGAAAACGTCTGTGAACAGAAATTTTCAAGTCTTGTCACAGATTCTCAATTAGATTTAGGTCTGGACTTTGAGGGGCAGACTGACAACTCATGGGGCCCCCGGGCAACAGGGGATCATGGGACCCCTGTGTCCTTGCCCAAACTCAAAAAAAGCCTATGAAAAAGGTAGCAAGGGCATCTCATGGGGCCCCCTACTGACCCCGGGCCCTCGGGCAGTGCCTGAGTTTCCAAATGGTCAGTCCGCCCCTGACTGGGCCATTCTAACACATGAATATGCTTTGATCTAAACCATTCCATTGTAGCTCTGGCTGTATGTTTAGGGTCATTGCCCTGCTGGAAGGTGAACCTCCGCCCCAGTCTCAAGTCTTTTGCAGGCTCTAACAGGTTTTCTTCTAAGATTGATATGTATTTGGCTCCATCCATCTTCCCATCAACTCTGACCATCTTCCCTGTCCCTGCTGAAGAAAAAAATCCCCACAACATGATGCTGTCACCACCATGTTTCACGGTGGGGATGGTGTGTTCAGGGTGATGTGCACTTTTATTTTTTTGTCACACACAGTGATTAGCTTTTAGGCCAAAAAGTTCAATTTTGGTCTCATCTGACCATGACAGCTTCTTCCGCGTTTGCTGTGTCCCCCTAATGGCTTCTTGCAAACTGCAAATGGGACTTCTTATGGCTTTCTTTCAACAATGGCTTTCTTCTTGCCACTCTTCCATAAAGGCCAGATTTGTGGAGTGCACAACTAATAGTTTTCCTGTGGACAGACTCTCCCACCTGAGCTGTGGATCTCTGCAGCTCCTCCAGAGTTACCATGGACCTCTTGGGTGCTTCTCTGAATAATGCTGTCCTTGCCCGGCCTATCAGTTTGGGTGGACGGCCATGGTAGGTTTGCAGTTGTGCCATACTCCTTTCCATTTTTGGATGATGGAATGAACAGTGCTCCGTAAGATGTTCAAAGCTTGGGATATTTTTCTAGAACCTAACCCTGCTTTAAACTTCACAACTTAATGCCTGACCTGTCTGGTGTGTTCCTTGGCCTTCATGATGCTGTTTATTCTTTAATGTTTTGTTTCACAGAACAGTTATATTTATACTAAGATTCAATTACACACAGATGGACTCTATTTACTAATTAGATGACTTCTGAAGGCAATTGGTTCCACTAGATTTTAGTTAGGGGTATCAGAGTAAAGGGGGCTGAATACAAATGCACGCCACACTTTTCAGGTATTTATTTGCACAAAATTTCGAAAACCATTTATCATTTTCCTTCCACTTCACAATTATGTGCCTTCCACTTCACAATTATGTGTTGGTCTATCGCATAAAATCCCAGTAAAACACATTTGTTTTTGGTTGTAACTTGACAAAATGTGGAAAATTTAAAAGGGTATGAATACTTTTTCAAGGCACTGTATGTGTTTCAGTTGTGAATTTAATCATGTAGCTGAAGTTGCTTTAAAGAATATGTTACCCCATCATTTCATATTCCTGATATGTGCCTGCTGTACATGTACACGTGTGAAAATGTATCCTGTTCTCTTTGTATTGCTTCCTTTGTGCAAAATCCTTGGTGTCCCTGCCAGTCCCTCTGATTTCTTCTCAAAAACTGACCACTCTGTGTATGAGAGCACAGCACGGTCAGTTTTCTTGCTGTGCTGCTGACACGTCCCCCCTGCACAGCTATTCACTGGGAAGACCAATGTGCTGTTTCTCAGCCCCTAGCTTTCTGGGCTCTTTAAGAAGCTGAGAACAGAGGGTATGTGATCACTTATAAAAAAGGGGAAAAAGGTATTTTTTTTATATTTTTAATGCATATACACAAATGTTTTTCCTTTTGTTTCTATTTTAAATTGAATGGGTTGTTTTACAACAAAGTGAGGGTTTACATATAGTTTAGGCATTTAAAAGGCAACGCCTTTCCATTTTGGGTGGAGTAGGGAATAGTTAAAGCCAATTCCGGTCTTATTTTAGCCATCTGTGTGCCATTGAGGAGAGTTTCCTGCCCTGTAGATAAAACAGGAGGAAATCTCTGCAAAGTGAGGGGAATACTCAGTTAGACAGTAGTCCTAGGAACAAGTGTTTCTATTGGACTATTTCTATTTTTTTCCTGTTCTGGTAACAGCTAAAAAAAAAAAATCAGGATTTTCCTTCACTCACTAGTAGATATCGAGGCAAATAAAGACAATAAGGGGTTTATTTACTAAAGCTGGAGAGTGCAAAATCAGACTCACTTCTGCATAGAAACCAATCAGCTTCCAGGTTTTATTGCCAAAGCTTCATTGAACAAGCTGAGGTTAGAAGCTGATTGGTTTCTATGCAGAAGGGAGTCTGATTTTGGACTCTCCAGCTTTAGTAAATAAACCCCTAAATGTCTCTTATGGTGACAAAGACAGCAATAATAATCATCATTTGTTGGGAATCCAACATACAGTATGTAGGTTTAGCTCTTCAAATACTCTAAACTGGTGATATTGGGGGCTTCAGAATGCTCCTTCATCAAGATTTTAATGTTTGATGGAGAAAGGAAATATAAGAATTGTTTAGTAAGAGAGCTTATTTGGACAAATGATACATATAATTTGGAAACAAATGAAAGAATCAGATTTTATGTTTATTTGTTTCAGTACAGGGATGCATGTGTAAGAACATATACAATGGCAATAAAACCTTATGGCAAAAATATATTGAATCAGTTTTTCATTTTTCAGTTTAATGACTTTGGGTTTTCTTATTCTGCATATGATAAACAACAAAGAATATTTATTTTTTTGTGGGATAAGTAGGGCAAGAAGGAAGAGACTTTCACCTTTGGTGCTGTGCTGCAGAGGGTGCAGCAAATATTGTAGCTTTCATTCATGAAATGTGTAGGAAAAAAAAACCCTTTCAGACAACATTTTACCCCCTTATTAACTCTTAGTGAACCCTAATTAATTTGTACTAGCTCATTAATTCCATTATTCACTTAGTATTTGTTTTTGCATGTATGTAGATATTTGAAATTTGTGTTTCATTAAATTTGTAGGTGAGTTTTTTTTAATAACTTGTATGTAGATATTTTAAAATTCAGGTTTTTTTCTGTTTATAGCACCAAATAAATTATTTGTACTGGTACTGGTTATAGTTGAAGGAGAAGTGCAGCCTCTTTGGCTGTACCTCTCATGTAAATCGTTTTCAGCTGACAGGGGGCTAAAGTCCGCTGTCATCTGACATCACTCAGCCGGTGCTGAGCCAGCCAATCCTGGCCCCTCCACAGACCAGCGCTGGGGAGGGGAAGAGCAGACAGCAGTGACTGACAGTTGCGGCTCTCTGCTCAGAGCAGCAGGGAGAACTGAGCAATCAACCGTGTCTGATCACTCAGTTCTGACGACTAGAGCCAGCATGGGACAGATGCAGCATCGGATCAATGTTGCATCTACCTAGATAAGTATGATTTAAAAAAAAAACACACACATTTTCTTTTGGACCTAATTAGTTCTTTTAACCCTAAATTTTGTAATACCATAAAAGAAAGAAATAGAGCCAATATTACAGAATCGTAATGGGTAGTTATGGAATTGACAATTTTGGTTTCATATTTAAAGTGTTACTAAACCCCATGACCCTGCATTTACTATATCTGGTCTCCCACAGTACACAAAACATGGAAAGGCAATTATTTTATTAAATATAAACTGCTAAATAAATTTTCTCATCAGCAGCTAGAGCAGTCTTGTGCCTTCTATCATTGTCCAGCAGAGCACTGGTTAAAGCTTGTAGGAGGAGTTTTCATTCTCCCCTGATTGTCCTATAAGACTTACGAACCCCTGACCCTCTGCCTGGACAGTGCTGATTGGCACTGTGCTGATCACATGCACTCTCCCAAGAAAAAAAAGAAAACTAGCAATACACACCAAACTGAGCATGTGCAGCTTGCCCCCAAGGCTCTGCTCTATCAGCAAATGGATTGGGGACAGTGGAAGAAGGGGAGGATCAGTGAAGACAGGATTAAACATCCTTTTTACACAATGCAGAGGATAAACCCCTTAGGTTCCACAGTGAGTATAACAAGCATGCTTTACTGCATATACAGACTGATTTTACTGTTGTGGGTTTAGTAACACTTTAATGCTGATTAAAGCGACGTACGGGGATGGAACTGGTGGGAAATTTGAAAGTTGTAAAAGTGACATTCACTAAATTCACTAAAATCTCATAGTAAAACATTACTGTATCAGACCATTTCACATACATTTTGTCCCTAGTGCTTTGTCCTGTGTCCTGCCTGCATTTTTACTGTTCTTTCTGCCTGGAAACTGAGAAATGTCCATGGCGCCCAAAAAGCGTCCCTTTAGGTCAAAAGCAGTTTTAGACCAGCTAGAGAACAGCGATAGTAAATCAGAACTACTTTCAGAATTGAGTGATAATGATTCGTCATCAGACACTGAAAACGATTTTGCGACTTTGCTCAGTGATGTGCAAACTTGGTGCTATATTTCAAATTTCAGTGTTTTTGGTTTGATTATAGTATTGAATTAAATGTATTATTATTATAGTACTATTTTTTATGATTATTTATTCAATTATAATTTATGATTTCGTGTTTCAAATTTTAACATACCTGGGATGTTTACTAGACTCTTGTTTGAACAGATTTCAGTGAGTTATTCCTGAAAATTACAGGCCTACAACAAAAAAAATACATATTTCCATGCAAGAAAATGTACTGCTTTGAGCAGCACAGAAATATGGACATAATCAGACCAATAGGGAGGCTACTAATTGTGTTCTAATCCCTCTGCACTCTATCCAGAACTAAAAAAAATGTTTTGCCATCAGTTATAGTTTAAATTATTAGTATATTAAATTGGGATATTACAGCGTTCAGGAACTGGTTAAAGTAATAAATGTGCAGGGGAATTGACTTTGTATGCTGTGTAAATAAGGAGCAGTCATAAAATGAGCAAGTGAAAGAAGATACTTGTTAATCGGTATGGCAAAGTGTGAACCATCTGCATTACTGCTAGATGTTCCATGATTCTCCCTTCCTAGAAAATGAACGTAGAGCATAATTTTAACATATTATCCCAGTTCTTATTAGTGACTGCTACTATATATCTTGTTATGAGCATTTGTAAAAAGAGAAAAAAAACTCCAATTTTGTTTTTGTTAATAGGTATGGCAAAGCTGGTGAACTGCATGGACATGCCATGTCTGTAATGGGCTGGGATGAAGAGTGAGAGCAAGAGATTAAAAAATATTTCACACGCAGCTCCAGGTGAGATCAGTTTCTGTGCTCCACAATCACATCTCAGGTGTTGCTTCAGCATATTTCCACCAAACAATTGATTGTGCCAACAACAAGGATGGCGCACAGCAAGATGCAAAAACAAATATTCAGCAGATGTATTAGTTACAGGGATGAGACAAACCATTTACCACTGACAAGGACACTTATAATGGTCAGAATTTATTTTTTTATGTAAAACCTATATACCAAAAGGAAAAAACACTGTTGCTGTAACTGCTTATAAACTGTTAGCAGGAGTTTGGCTTCAATTTGCTGGTGTATTTTAAATTTGTTAATTACTACAACACCAGTGCAGTGTTATTCTCCAAATATATAAATAAAATAAAATGTTTCCTTCTAGTGCAGGGGTCTCCAAACTTTCTACACAAATGGCCAGTTTACTGTCCTTCAGACTTTAGTGGGGCCAGACTGTGGCCATTGGGAGTAGAAATTGTACTGCTGCCAGTGGGAGTAAACAATGCATCTTTGTCATTAGGGGAAGGAATAGTGCCCCATCGTTGGTGTCAGTGGGAGGAATAGTGCCTCATTGTTGGTGTAAGTCATAGGAATAGTGCCCCATCGTTGGTGTCAGTCGTAGGAATAGTGCCCCATCGTTGGGGTCAGTGGGAGGAATAGTGCCCTACCGTTGGTGTCAGTGGGAGGAATAGTGCCTCATTGTTGGTGTCAGTGGGAGGAATAGTGCCTCATTGTTGGTGTCAGTGGGAGGAATAGTGCCTCATTGTTGGTGTCAGTGGGAGGAATAGTGCCTCATGGTTGGTGTCAATGGGAGAAATAGTGCCTCATTGTTGATGTCCGTAACAGTAGTTATTCCCCGTTGTTAGTGTTAGTGGGAAGAATAGTGTCATGCATCAGTGAGAGAAAAAGTGCTTGAAAGGCCAGATAAAAGCAAGCAAAGGGCCATATCCTGCCCCCAGGCCACAGTTTGGAGACTACTGTTCTAGTGCAATAAACCATTCATTCATGTAGCCCATTGGAGGATATATATGTTGTAAAGCATTAATTGACCATACCTGAGTGTAAGGTCAAAATAAAATAGGTGAGAGCGCAATTCTACTGGTGTGCAAGCAAGGAGGAAGGAAATCACAGATCACAGATAAAATACTTTATTAAATGAACTATTGCACTGGAAGGAAACATTTTATTTTATATATTTATAGGGAGAAGAGTGCTGCACTGGTGTTGTAACTATAATTATTTTAATACATCTGTAATGAGTGTGCAAGAGTGCTGGCAACTGTTTATTTAGGTAAATCACATACTATATATACAAGAAATACACATATGGTATTTAAATTTGCTACATCTAAACACTCTCCTCCCCCCAGACTGATAATGCTGCTATCTGCTGTACTCCTTTAGCATACACATTTAAACTGTAACTAAAGGCAAAACCTTTCTTTAGTTTTGGATAGCGTGCAGAGGGATTAGAACACAATCATTAAGGAGATTCACCCTCTCTATATGTCTTGTTTACTATTGTCATTGAAAGTGAAAGTAAAATATGAGAGGTGTGTTACTGGCCAGATCACCAGTAAAAAAAGAGGGCCTAAAAAAATAAAACTAATGCAGGCACCACATCTAATGATTGATAAGCTGCAATATATTACATTTTTGGTTTTGGATTTAATATCAATTTAAAGGATGTTCACTTATATTTCAGGTAGAAAAAAATGCACATTTATTATTTTTTCTTATTTTTTCCACAGAGCATTGCACCCCCAATCAATGTCAGGCTCTTGCAGACTGGCAGTTACTGAAGTCCAGTCCAGGAAGATCAATGAAGAGCACTCCCGTGGTGGAAGACGGTACTTGTAGTTCATTCTTTCACAGAACTCTCTGAATGAATGATGTAGCTGTGTGGGCAGAGCCTCGTATGACTGTGCTGTTTTTGAATTATGGAGAGAAGATCCCCTGCCTGTTGTTACAATGGGTCAGGATGTGGGCAGGTGCTTTAGTAACATGTCACACCCTGACTATCCTTTAACAACCTGCAGGAAGAGGTGGTAACATTGGGTTTAGTTGTATCCGAGCCACCAGCGGGAGCTGCCTTTGTGTAGATAACACAAAATGCCTTCACTTGTATATTTAACATACCCAAAGAGAGTGAAAAAGAGAAGTTCTTTGTTAGAGTTTACATAGACAGTAGAACTGAAGGCAAACCTGTTTTTTATTATGTACAAACAAGAGAGAGAGTTATATATCCCCTATCAACTATTTGTATCCCATGATGGTGAGATTTCACTTCAATTCTTGTCCCATAGCCATAACAGGAAGCGACAGAAAATCCCTCCAAAGTCAGGGAAATCCCCAGTAGTCATTGGTACATTGATCCTGGAGTTGAACTTTAAAGGAACTATTCTTTTAGTACTGTTATCTTTTTAAAGACCATATCAGGCCCGTCCCCCCCCCCCCCCTGATCTTGTACTCACCTGACCTTGCTCTACAGAGAACATTGCTGTTGGGCTCACTAACTCATCATGACCGATGCAGATTCTTCCATTTGGACTTTACTTCTTCCATACATCTCCACGCATTTCTCTGATGTCTACTGTTGAAATGCATACTAGATGGCCTTTCCATAGGTATAAATTGAGATTCTTATACATTTGGGTGGGAGACTCTGTAGTGGTGGCTGTGCTGCTACCACTGGACCCTTCAATGAAGATCTCTGAGGAGTGAAAAACAGGTGAGTGTAAGCATTTGAGGGACTTGGTGGGGGAAACAAAGTCATTTTAAAGTGGTTGTAAAAACTCCAGTCTTTACCTTCATGCATTCTATGCTTGAAGGTAAAAAACCTTCTGTGTGCAGCAACCTCCCAGCCCCCCTAAGGCTTGGTTCACACCTACACATTTTTTTAATGCTTTTTGCAGAAACACCCTACAGTCCACTTAACATGCTTTCCTAAGGGACACATTCACATCTATGCTTTTTTCAACTGCTGTGTTTTTGGAACGGGTCGGGGACATTTTTAAATGCAAAACATGCATTTTTGGATCAATAGACTTCAATGAAGACAGTGCAGAAGAGCATGTAGTGCATTGTTCATGCATTTTATTTAAAAGGATTTAAAAAAAAAAAAAAAAAAAAAAAAAAAGTGTAAATAATACAGGGTGAGGAAAAATGACATGCATTATGTTTTAGTGAACTGATCCTTATAACCCAAGGTACCCAAGGTCATGAATGTACCAGTAGATTGCTAATGGCTAACTGGTTATTCTCAATTGTTTTGAACTGCAAAGAAAAAGAAAAGCCTTGAGTTAGGTTAAATAACCGTGGGTGCCACCTTCTGGCCAGTTTGTACTTCAACCGGAGTTCACCAATTGGAATTAGATAAAGCTAAGGAGCAAGCACAGGGCACAAATGTAATAATCATGTCAGATGTTGTCATATTGTGTTGTCTAAACACGTGCTGTTTATTTGGTTGAGTTGGGAGAGGAGTAGCAGAACTTCTCTTCTCTCAGGTAAGCAATCAATGACATCTAACACTGAAATCTGTTTAGCTGGGCTGATATTGACAATTGTTGTAAAGGGACACTACAGACCTAATAACCAATATGTGAGGCATGTCACCACTGACTATGAACCCAAGGAGGAATTTGGCCTCCCATGTGCCCTCTGTAAGCAAGTACATAGTTGTAACAAAAGTGTTTAGCTGGGTGCTGACTTTTCCTCAACTATTGTTTATGTGCAAAAAAAAGCATATATGTGATAACAGAGTTATTATTTTTAAGATTAATCCTGTCTTACGGGTTCATGTTTGTTTATGAGACTCTCTCGCTTGTAAACAGCGATTAAGAAACTGTTTGT